TATAGTTCTGTGAATAAAACCAACATCTACATGTTTGTTTAGGAACCACTAACAAGACACACCCTTTGAAGTTAAGATAGAAGAGCGTATTTACTTTACATTGATTGATGTATTCGTTGACATTTCAATATCACGTGTTGTGTTATAGTTTTGTGAATAAAACCAACATTTAAATGTTCGACTATGAACCAGTAACAAGACACACCCTTTGAAGTTAAGATAGAAGAGCGTATTTACTTTACATTGATGTATTCGTTGACATTTCAATATCATGTGCTTATGAACCAGTAACAAGACACAGCCTTTGAAGATGAGATAAAATGCTGTATGTTTACAAAAATTATATGTTAATAGGTTTGAATTTGATTCAACAGCATGTATCAAATTTTTCTTATGAATGTAAAAGATACATAGAAATGTTGTTGTATGAACCAGCAACAAGACACACCCTTTGAGGCTGAAATGTCAGACTCTGTGTATTTTAAATTAATGTATTCACATTTCTGAATTTTAAACTCAGTCAAAGCAACTGCAATGTGTTCCTCTAGGGGGCGGTGTACTGCAAGTCTTAGTAAGCTTTTTCTCAATTTTTACATTTCAATAAGTTTTTTCGTCTTATAGTTATGTGAAAAATATCAACATTGAAATATTCTTTTAGGAACAAGTATCAAGACACACCCTTCGAAATTGAGATAGAAGAACACATTTATAGGAAATTAATTAGTTTTTTAATTCATTCAATTAAAATTAATTAAAAAGATAGAAGAGCGTATTTACTTTGCATTGATTGATGTATTAATTGACATTGCAATATGTGCTGTGTTATAGTTTTGTGAATAAAACCAGCATTTAAATGTTCGTCTATGAACCAGTAACAAGACACACCCTTTGAAATTGAGATGGAATACTGTATGTTTTAAAATTAATTTGTTAACATATTCAAATTTAATTCAATAGCATGCATCCTGATTTACATATGATAGTAAAAGATGGCTGTAAATATTGTTCTTTGAACAAGTAACAAGAAACACCCATTAAGCACCACCAGTCCTAAGTTCAGTTAAAATGACTAATATGCATTCAAACATGGTTTTAATACTAATTACTAAAGTTCTATCATGTAATAATACTTGATTATCATATATGATGCTTGACAGACCGATGTGAAGAATGTACTTTCAGATTTTTAAAAAGCTGTGCCATTTTACAAACATCATATATATATATA